GGGAAGATCAAGAAAGGAAGAGTTAGAACACAATTTGGAATTTGTATGAAACGCATGAATAGTCACAATGGATTGATGTTTTGCAACAGGAACAGTCCAGTTAGATATGATGAACTGATATTTTGCAAATTAACGATTTACGATATGGTTTTCCTACTTTACTGAGTAACTCTGTAATTTTCGTTAAATACAATTTGGTTGCCCCATTTGTGTTCTCGTTCACTACATACTGATCACCGGAAGATTCTTACATACATCAGTCACTGAAACCTATAAATCCAGCTTTACAGAAAACCAACCACTAATTCCTAGTCTCCGATAATAGTTTAAGATTGATAATAATAACATTCATATGGTAAATATTGTTTATTCTTTATGTTCTCTCAATTCCTAACCTTCTGGATTCTTCTACACCTGTAGTTTTGACTTTCTAAACTTTTTTCACTGAATTATACTTCTTGAATAGTATCTTCTAATCCTAACCTCTCCGATTACTTCTAATACCTTTACTACCTCTTCTACTATTGGATTTGAATTGACAATTACATCTCTGTGCCAATGTAGTGGTATGGTAACATGAACTGATGTACGTACTTACGTACGAAGTTAGTTCTACGTTGCATCTGACTGACTGACTGACTGACTAAATATTGTTTATGAGTTCATCTTAAAGCAAAATAACTACAGACATACTTTAAACAATTTTTTTTTCAACTTTTTGAATGATACTCAATAGATTTTATCTATCTATATATTATTATTATTATTATTTATACTTATCATTTTTTTGCACCAACATTCATTTTGTTAATTCATTTATCTTCATCTTAGATTATCATCAAAGATTAATGCATTCATTATTCAATTTTTATTCAATTTTTTTTATTTTGTATTAATGTAATTATTTGATTGTGTTTATTTGGTTATAATATGATTATTGTTTTATTAAAAATCAACTAAGTTTCATGTATGTATATATAGATAGACACCCTGGCCTTTTTTTCCCTTTACCCATATCACATCACCTACCCCCAATCTAATTCAAATGTATAAATATATCAGTAGATATAAAGTAATGGAGTAGTAATACTGTTTACTATTTTCTTTTTTTTCTCCCAAAATATTCTTAAATAATAAACAAATAAAGTACAATTCTTAATAATAATACTAATAATAAAAGATGATAAACTATAAATAAATAAGGTTAATGTGGGGTAATAAACATTCAGTTATTAAGTAAGTTTTCAGACTTAATTATCATATTAACTCTTTCATCTCTATATAGAGACCATCATTAGAAACTTGAAACTAGTGGATGGCTGTTTCATTCTAGTATACATAGATGAGGTTGCTCAATGTCAGTTACACATTATCATTGTTAGATATTGCTGACTCAGTGTGTTAGCGGGATATAGATGGAAATAAAGCATGGCTAATTCTCTTATCCAATCAGCGTCTGGTCGATACTTGGAGAGATCATTCTAGACAATTCCTGTTGATTGGCTAAATGTAATCCGATCACGTAGAGTACATTCCAGCAGCTTCTTATATAAAAACTATAAAGATACTAATGTTGTTGTTGTTTTGCCTTCGCTTCAGCTTCTTACTCCCATTTAACCTTGCTATTTGGAATATAATCTCTTTCCTGTTCTAACCATGTTCTGATTTTTTGGGGACTTGTCGAGTGGATTGGTGTCCGAAAATACTAAGCAATAGGAATAGCTGGGTTGCACTATGAGAAAATTATAACACAGTGGTGTAGAGGTTAAACGTCTACGTGCGAAAGTCACTAGAGTTCTATTCCCGCGAGCGAGTGTCATGGATACGCACTCTGATGAGTCGCATACTAGGATGGAACAGCTGTCTCTTAGTGATTCTAGGTTTCGAATGATAGTCGAACATTGATCAATTTTATCATTTCTATGAAACTCAATAACCTGCATAACTTTATCATGAAAAATATGATGATGATGATGATATGAAGTGTTTCACATATAAATAAACCTGTTGTCAAGTCTTCTCGGTTTCACATCAGTTCATCAATGAATAATATATTAGTTTATAATAGACATCAACTTCCACTTGAATAAACCTGGATGTATACTTCCATTAAACAAATTGTGATTCGTTTATCATATTGATTAAAATCAGAAAAAAAATTCTCGAAATTATGTTGTATAGAGACTAGTTATATTGTTTTTTTTCAAATAAGACAGAAGACATTGATAAACTGAATACTGAACTGAATATTATGGCATGCTCAGTGATTTTTTATTCTACTATAATGTTTTACATGATCATTTAAGTACAAACAATGAATAAGTTGTACTGACCTCGATAGATCAGTGAGCTAAGAAATGAATTTCAGTCTTAGATCTGTACTTGTTACTTTAAATTTCGATTTCTTCAATTGTATATATATATATATATATATCATAGCCTTCGGTTTGTTGAAACTACATAACTTTGAATGATATTTACCTTTGCGAAACAAAGTCATCAATATTAATCTGACATTTAAAAAACTTTGATTTTTGTTGTTAAAAACAATATTACGAATGAGTTGTTTACGAATTATTTTGACATATTGATGAACCATATATTCTGGGTTCACTGAAATTAATGTCGTAGACTATTCAGTTTGAACTGAGTGATCTTGCATGTTTGATACTAAACTTTGAAGTCTTGGGTAGCAGTATTACTTACTTACTTACTTATGCCTGTAACCCCCAATGGAGCATAGGCCGCCCACCAGTTTTCTCCAACCTACTCTGTCCTGGGTTTTCCTTTTCCAGTTCTGTCCAATGTTTGTTCATTCCTTTCATATCTTTCTCTATTTCTTGGCGTAATGTGTTCCTTGGCCTTCCTCTTTTCTTTTTGCCTTGAGGGTTCCATGTGTGAGCCTATCTTGTGACGCAGGTAGGTGCTTTTTGCAGTGTGTGTCCTATCCACTTCCACCGTTTCTTCCTGATTTCCTCCTCCACTCGAATCTAGTTTGTTCTCTCCCACAGTACGTTGTTGTTGATGGAGTCTGGCCAACGAATCCGAAGTATTTTGCGAAGACAACTGTTATTAAATATTTGTATCTTCTGGATGATGGCTTTGGTAGTTCTCCATGTTTCTGTTCCATACAGTAGAACTGTCTTGACATTTGTATTGCAAATCCTGATTTTGATATTGATTGATATTTGTTTGTGGTTCCAGATATTTTTCAATTGTAGAAATGCAGCCCTTGCTTTGCCAATCCGCGCCCTCACATCTGCATCGGATCCACCTTGGTTGTCGATGATGCTGCCCAGATATGTAAAGTTGTTAACGTCCTCGAAAGCATCTCCATGAAGAGTGATTTGGTTGGTGCATGTTGTGTTGCATCGGAGAATTTTGCTTTTTCCTTTATGTATGTTGAAACCTACTGCTGCACTGGTCGTCTTATCTTGCTTAAGTATGTTTTTAAATATAGAGTCCTAGATGAACATGAAAAGGTAGTTCAATGTCTGTTCGGTTTCTGTTTTTCTCCAACTAATGCTATGAGATATAGAAGGCAATTAATGAAATGTGATTTTCGGAGAGATATATTTAGTGAATATCGGTCTTTCATTCAGAATAGATTGGGAATTCAAGGTAATTTATAAGGTGAATATGAAAGCATTGAGTTTTCGTGATCTCAGCACGATTGAAATCTTTGATGATGTATACAAATGAAAAGTGATAAGTCATGATCTTATCCTGTAGTTTTCCATTAACATTATCTTTCACCTGTGTGCTCTTTCATGGACCTTTTAGCTCCAACTAACTCATATTTGTTTTCATGCTCTTTCTGATTATGTTATATCTCAACTTCAGCATTTCATTTGATAATGTTATGCAACCCTTCTTTTATAGTTATGAATCTGTATCCTTCTTGAATAATATTTAGAAGCTTAGAAACTAAAGTTTCACGTTGTTTTGCCTCTATGTCATTATTTTCATTCTGTAACTATTATAATTACGTATTTTGAAGTCAATGGGCTTGAATTGAAATCCATGGAACAAAGTATGGTGGCTTATGTATCACTAGTTTTATGACGGTTGATATCCGAAGTGTTCTTAGACCTCGTAATTTGCTCGTCCAGACAATTGTTACTAGGTAGCGCCTGACGGTTTTAAATCAGAAGGTGAACAAGATATGTTGAATACATTTATTTTGGTAAACTACAACTGGACCAGCAGACCACAAGCATGCAGAACAGGGCAAACACACTAGCGAGCGAATTGGAGAAAGAATATAGTGAAGTGGAGAAGGCTAGTGAGCCAACTCGAATAGATAAAACATGACCAAGAATCTATAGTCAGACAAAAATAAGCGAGATAGGAGTGCACATACACGAATAAAAGCAACGCAGATATGAGTGAATTACTGAAAAGATCTAAAGACAATGGGGAGAAGCCCTGTGAGTTGGACATGAAAGCACTCACCATAAAAGTTCTTCGTTGAATCTTTCTAGGTTTTTATATTTCAATAGATGAATTCCATTTATTTATAACTTTTGTTTTACTGCTCATAATGTTTTAAGTAGTTTGGCTAGTTTTTGTAAATTTAATGATTCACGTTAGCTCATTTTTCATCGAAGTATATTGATTTCGTATTTTGATCTTCAAAAGCATTTTTAAATGTTCTATTTGGTATCACTTGATTTCTCACCAACTCTAATTTTGATTATACGGGGGGTAACAGATAATAGCTATCATTTGTTGAACAACACTGTTTTGATAAGACATCTTTTTCACTAAGTGAAATAATGTGTACTCAGAGTTCTTATAAATTGTTACTTTATTTTATTTAAAAATCTAGTTCAAAATTGAATGACTGTCAGTGCGCTTTACAAAATCTTATTCAGATTACTGCTGGACCACTTGTAATCTTTTCAAGTTCACCTGGTCTAGGCCAATTTACAATTTGGTCAACTCAAGCTTTAACCGGATTAGTGAAAGCCACATTGATTTATTATCCAAACTTATGCTTAAATTATAATCCGAATGTTTGGATGGAAAAATTGATGTTGTTTTCACATGTTATTCATGTAAGTAGTGAAACGAACGTGTATTTATGCGTTGAAAATTGTTTTGAAAATGTCATATATGTACATTGATACTTACTTATTTAATGAAGCCTGACACCTCTAGTGTAGCGCAGGAATCCGATCAGTTTTCTCCGACATACTCTGTCCGGGATCCTCTTTTCCAGTCCTATCCAATTTCTGTTCGTTATTTTAATGTCTCCGTCTAATCGTCGGCGTAATTTGTTCCTTGGTCTTCTACTTCCCACTTGGGTTTGAGGATTCCAAGTGAGGACTTGACTTGTGATGCAGTTGTGTGCTTTCTTCAATGTGTGTCATATCTATTTCTACCACGTTTTCTTAACTACTTCCTCGGCTTGAATAAGGTTTGTTCTCTTTCACAGCAGGTTGTTAATGATGGTGTACGGAGGACATGTTGGGGACGTTAGATCCCCAGAACTCACTTGATAAAAGCTCTAACTTTAGATTTTGTGTTTTCGCGCATGGTCTAATCAGTTGACTTTGAGATTACATTTCTCACCTGGAAAATCTTAGGCTTTTATTGGTTGATGTATTATTTAAGTACGCTATTTTTGTGGCTCTCCGAAGGATGTTTTTATGATGTATAAATAAACTCGATTTGTGCTTGAAAACCTCATACTTTCTGCATGCTTGTAGAGTACACGTCTTGTCAAGACTTCTTCCTCTACTTAGTGGGGCTTTTGGACGCTCGGATTAGAGTAGCCTATCATGTCACTGGATCATTTGTCTTGGCTCTCGTTTACCGACTAAGGTGAACTCATAATAGTTTCAAGCATATCAATTGACGAGCACTTATATCTTCTGGATAATGGCTTTTGTGGTTCTTCAAGTTTCCGCCCAACACAGTAGAAATCTCTTGAAATTCGGATTGAAAGCTGTCTTTGATTTTGGCGGATTGTTGTTTTAGATTCCATGTGTTTTTTCAGTTACAAAAATACCACCCTTGCTTTGCTAATCCATGTTTTTACATCGATATCAGATCCACCTTAATGGTGCCTAAAGATTCCAAAGCTCTTCCGACAAGTGTAATTTTTTTGGTTGCTGTTACGTTTAATTGGAGGATCTTGCTTCTTCTTTTGTGCATGCTGAGACCTACTTAGGAAGAGGCTGTTACTACACTGGTAGGCTTCATCGGGATTTATTGTTGCCGATCGGCGTCTTTACATCTGCATCAGATCCACCTTGCTCATCAATGATGCTGCTAAGATATGTAAAGGTTTTTACATCCTCCAGAGCTACTTCGTCATTCGTGATTAGATATATTACTAACTATTACTGTATACATACCGATCGATAGACATGATTTTGGTTGATAGTAAATGGATAGAACATTTAATAAAAGAGTACAATATTTAAAGAGATATATGATTTTATAAGCAATTCTGATTGGACATTTATCACACAAATGTCAAACATGCAAATCGCATGATACAGACAAAACACTTAATCAGAGGTGATAGTGTAGTGAACGAGAACACAGTTGGGGCAACCGAATTGTATTTAACGAAAATTACAGAGTTCATTGGTAAAGTAGGAAAACCGTATCGTAAATCGTTAATTTGCAAAATATCAGTTCATCATATTATCCAACTGGACTGTTCCTGTTGCAAAACATCAATCCATTGTCACTATTCATGCGTTTCATACAAATTCCATTGTGTTCTTCTAAATCTTCCTTTCTTGATCTTCACCCATCTTCTGCTGCCAGACATTACGTTGACACTCACGTCATATACTACTTATAAGTAGCTCACACCACAATAGTATTTGAAATTACATTATTGTCATCGGTGTATGCATACACCTCGGTAGTCATTTGTCTCATAATCATGTGGAGTTCTGTAAATAAGTAGTCTGAGAAGAATGCAATTATATCACGATAGTGGTATAAATAATGAGTAAGTAGCATTTCCCATTGACCTACTACTGTTGCACGGTAAAATCCAGTTTTAGACTATCACCATGAAAGCTTGATAGATTAGTAGACCTTGACGATTTTATATTTTATATATTATCGAATTGAAAATATCTTGTTAGACAAAAAATCGATACGTCCTTGTACACTTTGACATTGTGGCTTTGTTTGTTACGGAAAATGTTTTTATCTGTTATATTTCTTTGCTTTTTCTAACGAAACTATTGTGTGATACGGGTAAATTCCAGAATCAAAATACGAGGTTTGTGCTTTAAAATACATTGCTATTATTAATGACAGTCAGTATAAGGCATGAAGTTACAAACCTCAATTTTTTTTTAGGTATTTAGGACGTTTCCTGTATCAATGTATAGACATATAGGTTCTTATACGAGTTATTTACAAAAATATACCATAAACTAGGTAACACCTAGTAGTTATACAGTGTCAGAAACACACTGGCAACCAACGATTTAAGTATGCACTAGACGTAAAAAAATGTTGAAACTAGTACAAATAAAAACAAATACTTGTGGTAATATGAAGGCAATAAAGATAACTGTTAAAGCATAGAAAGAAAATGTAATTATCATTTCAAATTGCTTGACTATAACCGATTCATGTAAATAAATACGACACTAAAACGAAGAGACAACGTAAATTATCTTCTAAAAATTGTGTGTCAATACATAAGTTACTATATATTAATAAGTAATATAATTTCGTACACAAAAAAGAACAAAATAAGAGTGAAATAACTAGTGTTTCCAACAAATTTATCAGAATTATTGATTAAAAAAATAGGAATATCGTGTCGATTTCTAGCCCTCTTTCAGTTAAGGTAACTAAGACTACAACATCAAAGGATAAACCAGTGGAGCTCCACTCTGTCTGGTGTGGGCATTCACTACCGAATACAATGGGTAATGTTGCGCAAGATCCCTAAATTGATCAGAGTTAGAAATTAACACCACTGGATGCTGACCCAGTGGTCCAGAGATTAGGCATTTTCTTGCAAGACCGTAGGTCCTGGACTCACATCACGTGAGTAGCTGGAGTTGTGGATGATTACTAATGATGAGTCCCATACCAAGACGAAACGGCCGTCTTTCAGGTTTCTAATGGTGGTCTAGCTATGATTCATTCATGATTTCAGTAATAATCAACAATCTCCATAACTCTATAATGAAAAATATCAATACTTGCATTACTGCTGATATTATATATCATCCATCTTATACTTTTTACTAGGTTCTTCATCGATTATTACCGAAAGTCTTTCTAATCGAACCAATCAATTTCGGCTCAGCTGAATTATTGATACAATTAAGCAAATATATTACAAATGATGATGACTCATTCAATTTGGACATTATATTATCACATTTAAATCTGTTAACATTAATTCTAAATAAATTGCCATCAGTACAAGCAGTGCTATCGTCAACATCTTCACTGTTGGATGTTAAAACAATGACACAAGAAAAGGAGAAATTTCTTGTCATTATACAATATGGATTTATGAATTTATTTTTAGCTGTTGGAAAAGTTTGGTTATGTTCTACATGTACAATTGATTTAAAGTAAGTTTTATTTATGAATTCGATACTACTTAATTGTTTTTGATTCTTTTAAATTTTTTTTTAAAAACATTATTTTTCAGGATGGTTTGTTTAATTTCAAGGTTTGTTTTTAACCGAGGCTAATTTGAATTTGCAGGATAACAAGGACTATACATCATTTGTAGTAATGACTACTGTTTCCTCATTTGAATCGTCAAAGAACTGCCTTGATCAATGAATATCTGTCAGCTAAAAAAAATAGTGATTAGAATGTTTAGTGTTTGCATCAGTAATACGATGAAAGTGCACATAATAAGATGTAACTTACATAAACGAGATCCAAATCTACTTGCTGTCATATTTTGTTGAACACTTTAAAAGATGCTTAGTATCAGAACTATTCTCATCTGTTAATCACTTCCCTTCATATATATATATATATATATATATATATATATATATATATATATATATATATATTTCGAGCAGTATCAAGTTTTTATTCTGAACATACTTTTATCATTTCACTGAAAACGTACATAGTCAGTCAGTCAGTCAGTTGTAACGTAGAACTTCGTACGTATGTACATCAGTTCAGGTTGCCATACCACATTAGCACAGAGACGCAAATGTCAAATCAAATCCCATAGTGATAAAGATAGTAGAAGTAATAATGGTAATGAAGAAGAATAGGGTTCGAAGATATTATTCAAGAAGTATAATTCAGTGAGATAAGGTTAAAAAGACAAAGGTAGAGGTGCTGACGAATCCAGAAGATTCGGATGTAAGAGAGCACAACGAATGGATGCATTTGCGCCATTGCAAACGATTTTGAGCCATGTTGTTCAAGGTCTCTAACCATCGATTATTATCATCTCGCGGACCCCAACCAAGTAGCCTACATCTACCAACATGACTCAGTCCACTTGTCAGTGACTTCATGAATTTATGCCATGTTTTGGTTTGGCCACCCCTAGCTTTCTTCCAATCTATTCGTACACCACAAAACATTGCTCGAAAAAAGAACATACATATGCACACAGTGAATATAAGTAAACAAATGAAATCATTCTTCTATGTCAAAATATGCTGCAATTTTGTTCTCACCTTGATTGTAGATAGAAATAGACTGAAGAAAAGCAATATAATACGTGCTGATCATACTGATAAGTTAGAATTTTTTTTTCAATAAGCAGGAGACTTTAACAATAAACTAACCAATCGACTATCTACTGTACATTACCATGAATTGTTGTGAAAAGAAAATGTGATGAAATTTTAATTTACAGTTTTGATCAGTGGTTTATTGTTTAAAAAATTGGATTATTTAAACTCATTCAGTTTATTTTTTTTGAAGTGATCGAATTTACTAGAAGCATATTGTTCACAGATGTCCTCTACTCTTATGAGAAACATGGTCAATAAAAGTAGAGGATATTCATAGGTTAATGGTTTTCGATCATAGGTCTCTGCAAAGCATTGCTCATTTTTCTTGGGACTATCGAGTAAGCAATGCATTGGTTAGGAAACGGGCACTAGGTAATGATGGTAGATCAATTAATGAAGTAGTGAAACTTCATCAGTTGACATGGTTGTGACATGTGTTTCGTATGCTCAACCATCGACTGTCTCGAAAAGAGATGA